TTATAAATTTTAATATTAAAAATTTAGTTTTGTATATAATTTGTTTATAATAATTTTCCAGCTACTTTAGAAAGTTCATGGGCTAAAATGTCTATACAATTAAATAGGTGCACAAAATTAGAATGTACACACGTAATCGGTTATGTGTATACATATATACATATATCATATGTATATTGAAGTATTTGTATATATGTATATTATATATGGTTTATATGTATGTATTCTTTAGAACGTGTCCTTAGCTCCCTGCGCTTACCGTAAATGCCTGCAAAAACTGTTTCTCAGCCGAGTGTTTCGAATCGTATGCCATTTGCGTTTGTATTGGTGTGTGTGTTGTGTGTGTGTTGTGTGTCGGTGTGTGTGTCTTGTTACATTTCCGCCTAGTTGTTGCTTAGAGTGTCCTTTGTTCATTTCCTTCTGTTTGTTCATTTAGTTCTGTAACTTGGGCGCCACGGACGCTGTCTCGGAAGAAACAGCAGCGGCTAGCGGCATTTGCTAGAGTTAAGAAACGGAGATATCATTATGAAAATATAAGTTTCAGCTGGGCTTTGCTCACCTTCTGCTCGGCTGGCGCTTTGCCGGTGCTACGACCCCAGCGCAAACGCATGGGCTTGCGAGACTCGCGCTGAAATTGATACTCCGCATTGTCCTCGTCCTGCTCCTCGTCCTGATCTTCGCTCGACTCAAGGGCACGTTCGCCAGCTGGGATGTCGTACTCCTGCTGCAGGGCCTTCAGCATGCGGGTCACTTCTTGCGCCTGCCGCAAATATTGTTCTATTTCAGCTTGTATACGCTGATGACGAAGATGGGAGATGAGATAGAAACGGGGGTTAAATTTTAATTTAAAAATTTACTTTTATTATGTGTTGAATCTGTCATTCAAATTTAGTATCTCAATAGAATCATCAATAAATTCGAATAGTCTTCACTTGTCTTTCGTCGCATCTCTTTGCGACTCCCAAACTTAAATTCAAGGCCAATTCGCTACAGGTCCATCTAAAATCCTTCCTTACATCCCCATCCTACCTGCTCTTTATCCAAACGATTATTGCCCAGATTCAGAATGCCGGTGATTACGCTTCGTCCCCAACGCAAGCGTTGAGGCTTGCGCACAGCACGCTCGAAGCCCGCATCGTAGTCCTCTGAGAGATCGGCATCGTAGCCAGCGGCTGGCTGATTCAGCAGCTGTTGCTGATTGTTGAGGGTCAGTTCACGCTCGAGCAGCTCGTCGTAGGCTGTGCGTCGCATCTGCGGCAAGTTGGGATCGCTGCGCCGGCCGAAGCGCAAACGCATCGACGGCGATCGTATGGGCTTCTGGTTGACGTCGCCGAACCAACGTTTCTCCACGATGTTGTTCAGCATGTCCGGATCGCTGCGACCGAAGCGCAGGCGCAACGAGGGCGATCGCTGCGCCTTGCGCTCCACCTGATGATTGGGAAAGACTACGGGTCCGGCGTACTCACGCTGCAGCAAATTGTCATAGAGATTGCTGATGGCAGCGCCTGCAAGATGATAGAGAATATGGCTTAGCTGCGAGGCCTGATCAAAGAGAGTCAGCTTACCTTGACCCGTGGCTACCTCGGCGCTGGACAGCATGCAGAGATTGAGGCTGAAGAGCGCCAAGGCGCAGCCGTAACTCAGCTGAGACTTCAGGTGCATCATTTTCTGCAAGAAAAGAGAAATTAAGAGAACAGTTAGTCTCTGCAAAGTAAACTTAAATCATTTCTCTCGAAGGGTCGTTTTTAAGCAGACTTTGATGACTGCAATTAGCTTGAACTCTTAAAATCCGCACACAAGCCTTTACTCTTCTTCTTCACTTATTTTTTTACTCCTTGCTGATCTGATTGCCTCCACTGCCTCCGACTGCCTTCGACTGCTTACAATTCAATTTCCGCTTGCTACTACCGTCACGTATACGCACGCTATCACGTATACGACACGTTGTATCGCTTCCAACCCCTCAAAGAAAACACAATAAAACAAGAGAAATAAAAAGTATATAAAAAAAAAAAAACAAAAAAAAGAAGGAAATAATTCGCATGCACTTAACACCCTTCGGCGCTGTCGATGCCTTTGCATTTAGAATGCCGCTGCGGGTGCCGGAGTTGGATTTCAGCTCTTCAGCTGTTGCCTGCAGGAAGTCAAAGTTTATGACAATTTTTTCGTTTTTGCATTTCTCAATATTTTATTAGGGGCTGCTGCAGTGCAATGTGTGCCTATTGTTGTAGCATTTTGGCATATCCAGGAAATTGTAAAGAGTTTATAAGGGTATATTGGTTAGGATAATGTGCATGCAGCAGTTGATCGAAGACGTGGCCAATGGCATGATGTATAAACAATGTTGATTAGGCAAATCGGATTAGTAGAAGTGAAGCACTTTGATTCAGTGCTTGACTATCTGAATGTTTATACATACGTCTGTCAGTCTATTTGTCTGTTCTTCTACCTTCTATTTGTATTATCATATATATGAATGCATTGATCTTGAAACATATTAAAGATATAGGATTATTGCTTATTAGGTTCTACTGTATCACAGGGCATTAGAAATGTTTTTAAAGGTAGTGTCTGATACATAAATATTTAGTATATAATTTTTTAAATACAGCAATATAATACTCTCCTAAAATTTATATAAAATTAAAAAATAAGCCAAGAAAATTACAAATTAAAATTTTCGAATAATCATTCATGCTCAATAGAAATGAGTTTTCATATTATCCTTATTATCAGACAGCAAATATTCTGCATTTTCACCACAGGGTATCTGTTAGTCAGGCACTGCTCACAAAAGTGCTCTTTTTTTTTTTTTTTTTTTTTTTTTTTTTGAATGTGCAGCTGCATAGGTAGCATAGCTTATTTGTTATCATTATTCAAGGAGTCTCTCCACTTCACACACACACTTGCATTTGCTCACACACTTCACGCCTGCCTTTGTCACATTGTTGCTCCCTTTTTTCTCTCTCTCTCTCTCTCTCTCTCTGTTTCTCTCACTCCCATTTTCAGCCCCTGGGCGAAAGTAGCCTGGCACTTGACTTGTCTATGCTCTGCAGCTACTTTATAGTGTATAGCCCCCTGGCTTTCTCCCACTGCTCTGACGCTGCGCTGCTCAGGTTATCTTATAAATAATTCAATTGCCTTGCATTGCTCTTCTTCTTCTTGGGGGTTCTTTTTAGCCCGCCTCTAAAATGAATTTATGACGTTTGCAATGAATTGCAGTGCTGAGGGCAGCGCTTGGAGCGGAAAACTTTGCTCAAGTTTATTTACACCACAAATTTTTCTTTTCCCTTGCTTTTTGTGTTTTTGCATATGAATTTTAATATATATTCATATGTGCCCCAACTACCACCCCCCTTTACGGCGCTACGTCTTGGCGTTGCATTGAAATTGCATTTTTATTGATTCCTTTAGGCTTTAATTGTGGCCGTAGTGCAACGCTGTTTAATAAATTGATGTATATATGCGTATGTATGTGTGTATGTACGTGTGTGTGTTGTGCAGTCCTTAGTCCATGACATCATTTACCACGGCCTTCGTTTGTTTCTGCCTCAATGTGCAATAAATTGAATAAAAAAGTAACAAATGTGAATACATTGAACAGGTGCGCCGTTCACCTAACCTTTTGACTGGTTGACCTCTTGAACAAAAAAAAAAAAACATTAGACACTAGTGGCATGTGCGCGTTTCGATTTATCTATGTAAATATTTAGTAAATATGCGATATTCCAATTTCACCTCAATGCAAATATTTAAAATTTATATTCAGCATGGAAAAGATGAAAAAATTTTTTTTTTTGAGACTAAAATGTAGTTTGATGAATTGATGGATATGTATATATATATATATATATGTATATATATATCATATTGCTGAGCTATTTTTTTGATTCATTAATTGATTTTTATTATTATTATACATATTATTTTTTTATATTATTTAATTAATTTTGAGTTTCCATATCGATCAAGTAATATATATGCATATATTCCTTAGGAATATCATTATATGCATATATCCTTCCTGGCCTTTTAGCCAGTTTAGTTTTTGCTATCTCACAACCTTTGACTTGTTTATTAAATAGTACCGTAATACATGTATATCATTCTAATAGAAGTCTGAGTGCTTTAGTTCAGTTGAAAAAGTTACCAAATAAATTCGCTTCTTTGCACTGAAAGTTTCGTGATGGACAGACATTGTCTAGCCGCTGCCGCTGCTGCTGCTGCTGCTGCCTAATTGCTTGACCGAAATTGAGGCAATAGCCATACAATCTGTGTGCCCAAGAGACCTCAGGCGCATTATTCATCTGAATCCCAACTCGATTTGTCGACTCAAAGTTTTTCCCAACAAGCTGTTGGCTGCCATTTCGCGTCACTCTTTGCCCTTTTTCAGAAAATATTTCTGAATGGTGCTCTAGAAATCACAGCGAATAAATGCTCAATAAATCTGACTTTCTACAATCTGTTGGCCAGGCAACAGCAGCGACAAAGATTGTCGCAATGTAGTGTAGAGAGCAGAAAAAAAAAAAAGAAAATGAAATCAACGTAACTTGACGGCAGCTTGCATTGGCACGCCCACAATATAGAGAGAGTGGGCATTGGGCATGTAAATATTTTTCACAACGTGTGAATGAAAATTCTCAATTTCCACTTTTTGTTGTTGCTATCAGTGCAACATGAGCGAGAAATCTGAGAGAATTTGAATTGGCGCAACTGAACGCAACAGCTGCCAGCAGAGCAGAATTTAATTACTGCACAGCAATGCAAAGAAAATATTCGGAGAATTTATATCTAAGAAATTTCCCTAGTAGTTTATGAATGAAAAAAATTAAAATATATCAAAGAATATTGTAAGCAATATTTCACGGGTAAATAAGTAAAAAGGTCGCAGTCAGGTCTGCGACTGCATGAACTGCAGCAGTATCCGTGAAATTCTTTTGATAACGTATATATTTACCCAGGTAAATTTATAGAAAGTGAAATGTAGATGAAGTTGTCAATGAAGACTAATAAATATTTTAAAATGAAAAAAAGGAAAATAAAGATTTGCCTGGAAAAGTTAAGAGATTCGTAAAAAAAATATAATAAATATATGCATAAAT